ATGCTGGAACAGCCCGGCGGAAATACACGGACAGCAATGGTCTCCAGGAGGTCAGTGCCAGGGAGCGACAGGCGCTCGCACGGTAGAGAGTGGCGCACCAGAATGGCAACGCCACCACCGCGCCCAGTGAGGTCTGAAGGTAGTCATTATAGCCACATAATTTCGTCGCCACGTCACCACGGTTACTTATTTCCTGGAGAAGAACGGTGTCAGGTGGACGCTGCTCCAATCGCGCCGCAAGTGCAATATTTTCACGGACGAGAGGCCTGCAATGTTGAGCTGCCAAACAGTGATGAAGCCATCCTCCTCGGGCCAGGGTTCTTGTGGACGTCACCGCAACGGGGGATATCAACGGAGTGACCGCAGCGAAACGGCCGTGCAGTTCTGACCGACAGTCTGCGGGCAGACCGCTTCACCTCCCCGCACCGGGCATGGCGTGGAACCTTCTCGAGGGATGGAGTCGTCTTGGTCTCCGTCGTGCTCGCAGCAATGCCCTGCTGCGGAGTTCCTATATGCAACCAAAGCCCCAGCACCGCGACAAGGTGCAACATCATCGCTGGGGACCGTGGATACTCGCAACGGATGGCGGTGTTGACATTCCTAATTCGGCCGGGATTGGCATACTGCTCTCATCACTGCATTCCTCGAAGATAATAGAGAAAGTCAGTACCAACGGCGGCACACGCCCATGCAGCCGCACGACGGAATCCCGTGCACTGCTCCCGGCCATGGAAAGGCTGAGTATCCATCGTATCCAGCACAGGCGTAAAACCCTGCTTGTGGTTACGGACAGTCATTCCCTTCTAGCGGCTCTAAACAAGGGCCCGCTCAGTCATACCCACTGGACGGAGGATCGGCTCTGGCAGCGTCTCTTGACACTGACGCGTGCTGGCTGGTCCGTGCACCTGCAGTTTTGTTACGGACATTGTGGAGTACACGTTAGCGAGCCTGCAGATCAGCATGCGACGCAGACTAAGGAAAGTGGACAGTACACGGAGCAAGGAATCGCACCTTTATGGCATACGGATCTGCTGACATGTTTGACCACCCAGCTCACCAACAAGTGGCGTAGTACCATTCGTCAAGACACTCATCGCTACTTGCTTTGCGGCACAAGGCCATCAGATCTCAGCGGTAAGGACCTGATCACTCAGGAAGTTCTACACCGTCAGGAACTGGTTCACCTCGCTAGCGCAAGGTGCGGGGAATCTGAGCTCTGGGGCCGACTATACTGGGCCGTGAGAGATTGCACGAACCAATGCCGATTCTGCAACATCTCACCGGAACAGTCTGCATATATGCGCTCTAACAACGATCCAACTGCACCGGGGACGGACACTGTTCCCCCGTCGGCGAGGGAGGAAGACGTCTTTCCAGTAAGGGGACGGACCCTCACACGCCGTCGGAAGGAGAAATGTCCGCACTGTGATTCTACATTGACGGGATTCTCGGGTCTCGTCAGTCACTGTCGGTCATTTCATCCGGAACATCCTCCACCGCTTCCCGAGCTCAAATGTGATTTCTGCAACATGGTTTTCCCCACACGGAGAAGCACCGCACAGCACAGAATTCGCTGCGCACACAACCCAGACGCCACACGGCATCGAAACAGCAGTGCCAGGAGGCGATCTCTGCTGCCGCAGGATCAGCCAGCCTCCACAATCGCAACAATTAGCCCGCAGGAAACCTTGCACCATCTGCTTCTAGAATGTCCAGGCACCTTGGCTGTGCGCCAACGGCTGGGCATTGAACAGGACCTTCGCCTCGGAAAGTTCTCTCAACGGCAGTTGCTTCATAGCAGGAAACTTTTGTCGTTGCTCGACCACCTCTTCGGCACTCAGATGGCATTGTATAGCTAGACGCGCTGGTAAGAGTAGAAAAAAAAAAAAAAAACAACCGCTGCGCCAACCACGACGACTACCCACGCACCGTCACATCTTCGAGAAATCGACGGCAGCCTCAGCAGCTCTGCGTGTGTGTGTGTCCCGCTGCTGCTCGCCGCATCCGCGCTGGCGTGCACCGCTGTGGGCTAAAAGGGAGCGTGGGCTGTGCGTGCCAGCACTCAGCCACAGGGACATGTGTACGTCTACTGTGGTCCGATGTATAAGGTAAGACTAATTATGGTGATCGTTTTTTGCTTTGCTTGCTTCCGCTGCCCTGCTGTGTGCTCCGCATTGTTCCCACATCCGCCAAGTTGAACACATCCCGGACACACTCATACGCATGCGCACTGGAGCTCTGTCTTTTTTTTTTTTTAATTATTGTGCTTGTTTTTTCTTGACTTTTAAACTTCTTTTTGCAGTGCGGTGTGCGTTGCTGCTGGATGCTGCCATTTGTAAAGGTGTGTGGCTGTGCGTGCTACAACGGCCTCGTTTTTTGCTCTGCGTTGACGAGGCGTTAGTTTGTGCTGAAGGCTACACGCAAGTGACAGGAGTGATGGCGATGATGATGACTGGCCGTGTGCTGCTGGTGTGTGCCCTCTGCGTGCTGTGGTGCGGTGCTGCAATGGTGGTGGTGGCGGAGGGTTCTGATGGTATTAACGAAATAACAGACAAATTGTCGAGGGGATCACAGTCTGCATCTCAAGTCGGTCATGCAGAAGATCCAAAAATACTAAAGCCAAACGATGGAGTGTCAAACACATCAGAAAAACCGTTGGATGCGCAAGAATTAAGTAACGTCAGCCCTCAAAAAGGTTGCGTCGAACAATCATCAATATTTCATGGTGGGATGGAAGTTAAAGAAGAAAAATTAGAAGAAAAAGAGCCGGAAAATGCAGAACCAAGAAGAAATGGAAAAGAACAATCGCAAGATGCTCCAGAAGGAACACGGGGACGCAAAGGCCTAATGGAAGCCCAAGGGGACCCATCTCCAAAAACACCAGCAGAAGAAATGCCAACAATTGAGGAAGCAACAGGACCAGCAAAAGAACAAGCACCAGGACAGGGGGGAGAAACGGGTCAAGCAGCAAAACCGCCACAGTCACTACCGGCAACGTCACCACCAGCATCTGATCGAGGTCAACCTGGTGGCAGTTCTGGTGCTGACAGATCTGTTGGAGGTTCTAAAAGAGGTGAAGGTTCCAATTTGAAGATTTCTGCTTCTGATGGTGTGAATCAATCTGCTGTTGGCAGTTTGGGTTCCGGTGGTGGAAGTAGTGGAGGAGATGGTGGCAGTTCTCGAGGGGACTCTTTGGGTTCTTTTCTTTCTGCGGCTGGCACTTCTTTATCTTCTGCCCTTGATACACCATCCACTCAGGACACTCAATCTTCAGAAGGTGTTCGGCACTCGGAAAAAATGCCTCTTGGAACCGCAGTGCCCAACAAGCAGCCAAAGGAGAGATCAGAACCCAAAGCAAAACAGGGCACCTCTACTTCAGAAGAAGCAGCAGAAAGTCAAGATGATAGTGGGGATGCAGTTGAAAAGGAGAAAGAGAAGAGAGACGTGGGACTGAAATCCACTATAAGCCCAACGCCTAATACCAGCAACCCACCAGTAACACAAACAACTCCACGAGCATCATCCGCAGAGCCATCGCCAACAACAACGGAAGTTCAGGTAGGAGGAGAAACCTCAAAAGATAATGTCACCATCACCAAGAGAAATGACACGGCGACGCCTGGCGACAGTGACGGCAGCACCGCGGTCTCCCACGCCACCTCCCCTCTCTTGCCTCTTCTTATTGCGTGTGCGGCTGCGGCTGCGGTGGTGGCCGCGTGAGAGTGAGGGAGAGAGAGCCGTGCACCGCCCGCAAACACACTCGTCCTTCTCTCTCTGTGTGTGTGTCCCCTTGCATGGACTCTCGCCCTCACCTCACCCCACGAAGCACACACAATAATGTGCCCATTGTATATATGCATGCACACCCATGCAGGCCCGTTGGTGCTCTCTTTTGCACGACACGCACCGCTGCCGTCCTGCCTGGCTGCATGGGCGGAGCACCGTAACTGTTTCTGTTTTGTTTTTATTGCATTGAGTGGGCGACCTCTCTCTCTCTCCCTCTGTGTGTGTGTTTTGCTTTACGGGAGTAATGAGAGTGTGTGTGCGCTGGTCGTCCCACGCTTCGGCTTTTTGTTTTGTTTTCCTTTTTGATTTTGTGGTTGAGTGCACCCATTCCGCGGCTGCGTGTGTGTGTGTGTGTGTGTGATGATATGAGTAATTTGCGTGTGTGCTATCTGCCTCTCTCTGCCGTTGCTTTCTTCAGACTCTCTTGTGGCGCACAGCTGCTCTGCAAGTATAGGCGCTGCCAAACACACAAGCACACACACACACACATGTCATGTGGCACACGCTGTGGAGCGGTGTGAACGCTGAGAACGCACGCATTCACAAGATTCCGACTGCGGCGGCCCTTGCGAGGACGGAGGACGGGAGACCGCGATGTATCTTGTTGATGTACTACGGGTGTGTTGTTGCTGGCGTGCAGGGAGTGAGTTGTGTGGCATTGGTGGTGCCTGATACAACTGTTGATTGATTCCCGATCAGCAGCTGCACGTGCCAATTTGTATCTCCCGCTGTGGGTCCGTCGGCCGAAGGATTGTTTGGCTGTGCGGGGCGATGTGAGTTGGAGGATGAAACAGTAAAACGACGGGTGGCAGCGTGTCGGTGTTTCGAGGGCGGTTGTGCTCTTTTACATCACGCTGGTTTTTTTGTGTGTGGGCGTTGCTCGGTGTGTGCTGACGAATAAGATACCCGCCGTGACTCCTGCTGCTGGTGGTGGCAGTCGCTGTGTGTTCCCGGTGCACTGTTCTTCCGTCTCGTTCCGTGTGTCTGTGTGCGTGAGTTGTTGTTGTGGGAGTGACTGCGGCGGGGATGATGCTGCCACTCACTGTGGATGGGTGGCGGTGCTTATCCTTTCACCCCTTTTTATTAGCCTGTTTTCTTCATTTCTTTCACTCTCTTACTCATCAAGAAAGAAAACAAGCGCTAATCGCTACTGCGAAATTCGAAGGCACTGAAAGGACCAACAGCACACACACCGCCCACACACACGTATTTATATGCTCTCACGTGTTGCTGCAGTGAAGGCACCCCGCACACACAACCATCGCCGCGTGACCGGATCCAGCGGAAGGAGGAGGGAAGGAAGAGAGAGTGAGCCGCCGAGGCCCAACATGTCGCGGCGTGTGTTTACTTCCGCGGTGCTGCTTCTACTTGTTGTGTTGGTGTTTTGCGGCACTGGTGGAGCTGCACAAGCTGGTGTGGATGATCAGTCGTCGAATCCAAATTTTGTATGGAAGGACGTCAGTGATGGTGAAACTGTGGAATCGTTGAGTGTTCCCGGCCTTATAGAAGTGGGGAGTGGCGTATTTGCCGTTGCCGAGGCGCACTGTAAGAAGAATGAAAAAGTCTTTACTGGGATTGCATCCCAACTACTCTCGATGGAAAAGGGTAACGAACCGAAGGAATTGCTGGAGGATGCCAAAAAGGGCACGCAAGTTCTGGAGGAAGGTACTTCTGGAAAGGAGAAGAGAGTAGATGTGGGCCGACCAACAACAGTTGTGGAGGGAAGTAATATTTACATGCTTGTTGGAAAATACTGCCGTGAAGATGCCGCTAACTGTCAGGCTGACGCTGAGAACATCAAATCGGGAATATTGCTGGTGAAGGGTGAGGTCAGTGAAGGCGACAAAAAAATTGATTGGAAAACTACTGACGGTGTACCGTGCACTCTAGGCGAGAAAGAAAACTCCTTGAAGCGACTGATTGGCGGTGGCGGATCGGGTATTAAGACGAACGACGGTACGCTTGCGTTCCCAGTGGAAGGCACGAAAAAGGATGGCGCGGAAAAGGATGTGAAAACCGTTTCGCTGATCATATACTCCTCCAAGGAAGTAACGAATTGGACGCTGTCGAAGGGGATGTCTGCCGATGGCTGCAGTGATCCCTCCGTCGTGGAGTGGGAAAAGGACAAAAAACTCATGATGATGACTGCGTGTGATGATGGCCGCCGCAGGGTGTACGAGATCGGTGACAAGGGGGCGTCGTGGACGGAGGCCCTCGGGACACTCTCGCGCGTGTGGGGAAACAAACAGGATAAAAACGTGAAACTCGTTAGAAGCGGGTTCATCACAGCGAATATTGAGGACAGGGACGTGATGCTCGTTACTCTGCCGGTGTATCCCAAGAATACTGAGAAAGGACAAGTTAATGAAAAGGGCGTACTCCACCTTTGGCTGACGGACAATGCGCACATTGTTGATATTGGGTCGGTGTCCGGTGATGACGTTGCCGCCAGCTCCCTGCTGTACAAAAGTGGAGATAATAAGGAGGAGTTGTTTGCACTGTACGAGAAGAAGAAGGGCGATGGGGAGCCATCACCGCTCGGTATGTTCTCCGTGCTTCTGACTGAGCAGCTGCAGCGGGTGAAGAAGGTGCTGGCGACCTGGAAGGAAGTGGACGGCCGTGTCTCCAAGCTGTGCCCCTCTGAGAATGATGAGCATGATTACTCAACTACCAATGGCTGCAGCACTGTTAAGATCACGGCTGGGCTGGTTGGCTTTTTGTCCGGCAACTTCTCTGGTAACAAATGGAGGGACGAGTACCTCGGGGTGAACGCCACAGTAACTGGTGAAACAACAGGGGCAACAACGGCAACAGTGGCAACTGAGAATCCCGATGGCGTGACGTTCCGCGGAGCGTGGGCGGAGTGGCCCGTTGGCAGTCAGGGGGAGAATCAGCTGTACCACTTTGTGAATTACAACTTTACTCTTGTGGCGACGGTATCCATCGATGGTGTGCCGAAGGAGGGTTCTATTCCATTGATGGGTGCGAAGCTGAATGACGATGGGAAGACTGTACTATTGGGACTGTCGTACAACAAAGAAAAGAAGTGGCGGGTGCTGTGCATTGGCGGAAATACCAAGGATCTCAGCAGCACTTGGGAGCCGCAGACACAGTATCAGGTGGCCATTGTGCTACGGAACGGCAGCCAGGGCTCCGTGTACGTCGATGGTAAGCGTGTGGAAGGTATGCCGTTTGATTTAAAGGATAAAGGCTCGAAAGTTATCTCACACTTCTACATTGGAGGGGACGGAGGTGCAAAAGGCGTCTCAGAGGTCCAAGACGTGTCAGTGACTGTGAAGAACGTCCTGCTGTACAACCGTCTGTTGGGTGACACTGAGCTTACAGCGCTTAACGCGAATAAAGTCCCTATTTCAGTGCCGGAGGATCGGAACGAATTGGCGGGAGACACGGTTTTACCAGCGGTAAGTGGATCAGATTTGGAGGGAACCGTGTCCGTGTTCAATTCTGCCGGGCAAAAGCCGTTGGAAGAGGAGCCGTTGAGGAGAGTTGATGGTGCGGATGGTGGCGGTGTATCCAGTGCAGCTTCCATTGCTACGACTCCCTCGTCTGATGTTGACCAAACGGTGGCGACAGGGAGTGGAGATACGATGCGGGGAGATGGATCACCCCAAACTCCTGAGGTGGGCGTGAGCTCTGGTGTGGATGAGACGGTGGGAGGAACGGATGGGCAGAGAGAGGAGGGAATCCATCCACAGGCCGGGGAATTAAATGCCACGGCACTCAACAGCAGCCTCGGACATTTTTCGCAGGGGAATAACAGCGATGGCGGCACTGTGCGTGGGAGCGGACTGCCGCCGCTGCTGCTTCTTCTTCTGTTGGGACTGTGGGGGTTTGCGGCTCTGTGAGGAGTGAATGGCCTCAGTGTGGAACAATTTAGCCTTTCCCCACCACCGACGCACACACTCCTGCCAATCGATTACTCTCCGTAAAGGAAAGATATTTTTTGTGCGTTGTTTACTTTTTTTAAAATACTTTAATTATTTTCATTTTTTGCTTTTTTTCTCATCCCGCATCCCCCCTTTTTTTTTTTTTTTGCTTTTGGGGCAATCACTATGGACGGTTTTTTTTCTCTACACTTCCCTCTTTTAATTGTTTCTTGCTGCACTCTTCCTGTGAGGGGTGCCGTGTGTTTCCGCCCAACTGCTCCACTCGCACACCCACCGACACGCTCATGACGACGGCCCTGTGCGCCTCGCCTGCTGCACGCATGGGGAGGGGCCGCGACGAAGGGCGCGCTGAGGGAGCCGTGACGTGTGGGCGTGCGACGAGGGCCTGTGGGGCGGAGCACACATTTCTTCCCTCTTGTTTTGTTTTTTAGCGGCCAGGGCGGGCAGACACCCGCAGCGCCACACACACAGTCACACCCTGCCGCCGTGTTTTTATGATTTTTTGCTGCGCTCACTCTCCCGATGGAGTGACGCGACTGCCGTCATGTCTGCGTGCTTCTCTCATTCCCCACACACGAGTGACTGTGCTCTGCGGGCCGCACTCACGCGCCGATGAGAGGGCTGAGGGGAGCAGCAACACGCAGATGACCCCATGAAATATAAACGATGTGCGGACACATGGAGGGTCGGACGGTTGAAAGACATTTAAATATCTTTTTAAATTTTTTTGGGCAAAATATGTACGGACGGTTTGGTGTGGCCACAAGGCAGCCGGCTGCTTTTTAAAATTTGTGTGGAACAGTGATGGACGATTTCTTTTTTTTATTTATAATTATTTTGTGTGACGGGGTTTATATAAGACGAAGGGGAAATTGTTTTTTTTTTGTTTTTAAATAAATCCTTTGTGAATTGCCATTGCTTGGGCTGCGGTGCAGTCATGAGTTTGAGGGGTTTTCTTCTTGTTGTTTCCGCCATGCGTCTCCGCTGTACATTTTGTGCGTCTCTCCACATACTCTGCCCTCTTTTTTCTACTTCTTTGCTTTGTGTTTCTGCAGGCACACACACACACACACAAGATGCATATTGCAGTGGATTTGAATGCTTCTTTTGCAGTGCATGCTGGCAGTTGCGTGTGGCGGCTGTTGTCTTCTTCCGTGGCCGTGAGGAGAAGGAAGGGAGAGGGAGTGCGCAGCCCGCGTCTCCTTTCCTGCGGGTGTGGAGCACCGCGTGCGACTGCGTTGAGTTGGGCTCCGTTTCTCGTTGAGGGCGGGATGGCTGGAAATTTTGGTGCCGCGTCATGGATGGATGAGGGTTTCTTTGCTGTTGTGGCTGGTGTGGTGGCCGCGGGTTTTTGCTGTTTCCCTTTGGCTGTGGCGATGAGCTGTGGGGAGATGGTGGTGGATGTCTTCTCCTCCTGCATGGTGGTGGCTGCTGGCGTTGTGTGCCTTCCTTGCGTGGATGCCGTCTCGTGGTGCGTGAACGGTGCGGCTGGGCCTGCTGTCCTCTCCGCATGTTGTCTGCTCTCTCTCGCTGTATCCGCGGTGCCCCGTCCCTCTCCCTCTCGTTCCATTCCTTTTTCTTCTGTCTCACGGATCAGCTGACTGACTCCAGCGACTCCACTACGGGTGACGATGACTGCGATGATGACGGTGGTGACGGTGCGGCTCCGTGTTGGTCCCTGCGCTCTTGTGCTGCTGCTGCTCGTCCGTGTGCGTGACGGCTGCTGGGAGTGCTGGGGATGTATCTGGTGATGCGGATGCGGTGGGTGTGCCGGTGAATGTGTCGTGTGCTCCGAGTGACGGCAGCCTGAGCTGTCGTGTGTGTGTGTGTGAAGGAATTGTTCTGCTGCCAGTGCTGAGGCTCAGCATGAGAATTACACTTTCAGTGGCTTTGATGTGCGCATGCATGGCAGGAATGGTGAGCTGGGTGCTGTGTGCCATGTGGCCAATGCGGTGCACACATGTAGCAACTGTGCTGCCAGCTGTGCAGCGGAAGAGGAAGGGGCCACCGTTGCCTTCACGATGAATGTGACGACGCACAAATACGCCGGCCCTTGTGAATTGTGGTGGCGTCAATTTTCCCCCGATGGAACCATCCATCCGCCTGCACGGAGCGGCGATGCTGACCGGACGGGCATCTGTCAGTTGCCGCCACCCCGTGAAGGGAAGATGACACAAAATCTGGTGGGACAACTGCGCCGCAAGTTAATGCTGAGCCGTCACGTCAACACGAGGATCGGCGACGGTCTGCGGCGGCTGACGGACCCAACACCGTCGATCGGAGTCCCGCATCCAACACGGCGACCAACACGTCCGGGACGAGGCCTGAGTTTGCCAGCAATCCGAGCGAAGTGATGGTCCCGAATGCATCCAAGAAGAGGCCTTCCTTTGCCAACGGTTTGAAAATATTAGTGGCGTCGAATGCATCCGGGATCGTGTCTGCCACTTATGGCGGCAGGGAACACGTTGCTGCGGATAACACGGACGAGGTGGGTGAGCGCAGCGCCACTGGACACAAAACTCCTTTCCTCCGAAAATGGCGTTGCAGGCAGTGGATTTGTTGCTGAGGGTGATGCGGGCGGATTGACTCAACGCAATGCCTCTGGACACGAAAACAAACCCCAATTGCGAGAATTCACCGCGCAGTATTCCGGAGCGGTGTGAGTCCCGACGACTGCTTTGCCCTGCTCTACGACGCGAAATTGACACTGCGAGAGTTAACTGTTGGCAGCACTGTGCGTGTGTGCGTGTATTGGGTGTTGCTGCTTCTTCTGGGATTGTGTGGAGTTGTGGCGGTATTGTGAGCCGAAGAGTGTGGCATTGCGACTCCTCACGAAGAACATGTGCCGCGTTCTCTGCGTGCTTTCTTTTATTATTTACATTTTACTGTTGGCTTTGTTGGTTTACTGGAATAATAAGTATCCTTGCTGTTTCTTTATTTAATGGTCGGTTGCTGCACACTGTCATGGGTGACGTGTTTCTCCTCTTGTTTTGTTTTTGTTGCCCACACGCGGTGCCGGCCTCATTGCTGTGCGTCCCACGGACTGCACGAATGGAGGATTGGAGGGACAGGCCGGATGCCTCAATGAAGTGTGAGGAGAGTTGTGTGGGCTGGTGGAAGAGTACGATCTTTTTTTTTCTTACTTTCCGTTTCTTGTGCGGGAAAAATGTATGCACCCGGTCGTTTTTATTGCGTTGCATGGCGCATGAAATAAAATTACGACCTAATCTATTTTCCTAATTGTTTCTTTTGAGGGTCATGCCGGACTCTCACTTTTTCTTTTTCTTTGGTAACTCACTGCAGCGTGCTTCCATTGTTACCGTATCCGCTGTCACTGTGTGTCTACTTGTCCCGTTGACTGTACCTCTGCTGTCTGCTCTGTTGAAATGCCCCCACTTCTTCTTTTCTGCCAGTGGCACCGATGGTCCGCGACGGCGATTGTTTCTGTTCCCCGTTACGACGGCAGGAGGGTGACTGGGCGGCGGCCTGCTGAGTGCACTCGGAAGGAGCGGACTGTGTGCGCCGTGCCTCATTTGTGGGTGTGGGACGCAATGCCAATCCGCCGGGGAAGAGAGAAGTAAAGGACTGCAGCGTGGATTTGGTGACGCCCCGTCCCTTTTTCCCTGCTTTTGTGTGTGTGCTGTGCGCATGGCTATACCCTGCGGTGCGACGTTGATGGCACGGCTATTGTGTGTGTCCCTGTGCATGTGCTGTGCAGCGGGCTTCCCTTCCACATGACACCGCCCTTGTGTGCGGGACAGTGAAGGGAGTGAAGATTTGTGAGGGAGTGAGGGTGGCCGTTGTTTCCGTACATTTGGATCTTCAGACACGTGGCACCACTCGGCCGCCTCTCGCAGTTCCCAGGCCGTGGATCGAGAGAATGTGAGGGTCTGCTCCAAGCAGAAGGACAAGATGCAGTGCATGACGGCCAACCTGACTGGTGTGTGGTTGCAGCGCATGGAGCACGTGCGCCAGTACGCGTTGGGCGTTGCGCTCATGATTGGGGAGGCGGCACGACGTTGCGGCGCAGCGGGAGCGCATGACGGCTGCGTGTGGTGGAGGGGCGCGTGTTGGAGTGAGCGTGTCGTGCCTTGAGGGGCTGAGGAGAGAGGGAATAACAGTAATGGTGACTGTGGGAGTGTGAGGAACGGTGCACGGGCGAGGAGCGCCCCTCTTTTGTTTTGACTTGATTGTTGTTGAACCGCGCCCGCCAATTGTTGTTGTGGTGGTGTGTGACTCTCATTGCTGGATGGGACGGTGCGTGGTTGTGTGATTTTTCTTTCTTTTGCCTTTGCGTTGACGGGGAATTATTTTGTGCTGAAGGCTACACGCAAGTGACAGGAGTGATGGCGATGATGATGGCCGGCCGTGTGCTGCTGGTGTGTGCCCTCTGCGTGCTGTGGTGCGGTGCCGGCGGTGTTTATGCGAGGGACGTTGACACCAACGCACTGGGTGGCTGCATGGCGTCGGGAGTGTTGGGTGAGAATGGATCCCACATGCCTGACGGATGTAATAAAACTGCGATTACGGTGCTTTTGCGGTCAATACTGCCCATTACTGTTGTCGAAGCCTCAGATGGAAAAGCTGGTGCTCTTGCAACAAAGAACGATTCGAATTCAAGTGAGGCTTCCGACGCTGGTGTTAATGGTTCTGGCTCTGCTGCTGTTCCTGGTGCTGGAGATTCTGATGTTGGTGAAAGGGCTCCTGCTGCTGCTGATGGTGGAGGCAGTGGAACTTCTACTGGCAATCATGGCACCGGCAGCGTTTCTTCTGGTTCATCTGAAGGTCCTTCAGATCCTCCTGCTGCTCCTGGTGTTGATTCTTCAGCTGGCAGCAGTGATGGTAAAGCGGGGTCACCAGGCACTAATCCATCTAACACAACAGGGGACTCTCCAACAGGAAATCAGACGCCTGCAGCAGCAGAGGCTAACGACACCTCGCCACCCGAAAGACTGGCAGGAACGACATCCGGCACTGAACAAAAAGGAAAAGAAAAAGAAGAGGAAGAAGAAAATGAAAAGCAGCAGCAGAGTGATGAAACACAAGTCCAACAACATCAACAGCATGAACACCCCGCGGAAAATGGCGAAGAATCCGCGAAAGATAAAACTGCTCTTCGTACAAATGCCACCGCAAATACAGGCGACAGTGACGGCAGCACCGCGGCCTCCCACACCACCTCCCCTCTTTTTCTTCTTCTTCTTCTTGTTGTGTGTGCGGCTGCTGCTGCGGTGGTGGCCGCGTGAGAGTGAGGGAGAGAGAGCCATGCACCGCCCGCACACACACTCTTCCTTCTCTCTCTGTGTGTGTGTGTGTCCCCTTGCATGGACTCTCGCTCTCACCTCACCCCACGAGGCACACACAATAATGTGCCCATTGTATATATGCATGCACACCCATGCAGGCCCGTTGGTGCTCTCTTTTGCACGACACGCACCGCTGCCGTCCTGCCTGGCTGCATGGACGGAGCACCGTAACTGTTTCTGTTTTGTTTTTATTGCATTGAGTGGGCGACCTCTCTCTCTCTCCCTCTGTGTGTGTGTTTTGCTTTACGGGAGTAATGAGAGTGTGTGTGCGCTGGTCGTCCCACGCTTCGGCTTTTTGTTTTGTTTTCCTTTTTGATTTTGTGGTTGAGTGCACCCATTCCGCGGCTGCGTGTGTGTGTGTGTGCGATGATATGAGTAATTTGCGTGTGTGCTATCTGCCTCTCTCTGCCGTTGCTTTCTTCAGACTCTCTTGTGGCGCACAGCTGCTCCGCAAGTATAGGCGCTGACAAACACACACACACATGCACACACACATGCCGTGTTTAAAACGCTGAGAATGCACGCACGCACAGGATTGTGGCTGCGGAGGCCCTCGCGAGGGGGGAAAAAGTCTGCATTTTGTTTTTTTTTGACATGTTGCTCGGTGTGTGCTGACGCGTGACGAATAACAACACGCCCCAATAAGCAGAAAAGAAGTAAAACAAAATGGCGCTGAGCGGCACACCGGTAAGCCAAAAATACGCAATCACCAATAAAAAAGCCGGCGATCACCCAGCAGGCACATCAAGCCTCCTAAAAACCAACCTGGAACAGACAAAAAAAAAGAGACAATCATAGAAAACAAAGATCCCCGCCCCCAAACAGGAAAAACATTAAAGAAAACGCGATTCTTTTTTTTGTCCTTACTGCCGGGGTTGGCCGCTGCAAGAAATAAAAAATGGTAGGGCGGTGGCCCCGGACGTTGGATACAACACGACGAATCGTAGTAACCACGCTGCGGCTGCGGCCCCGTACGAGAGATATATGACGAACTTATCGTAGTAACCACGCTGCGGCGGCGCACCCTAAACATGTCGTTTTCGTTTTCCAGGGGACAACGCAAATGTGCTCGATTGTTCGAAGATCGACATTAATACTTTACGTGAAAAGGGGTCGCGCGACCGCATTTTTATAGCTCAGTGGCAAACACGCTCACAATGTCATCCGGGGACGCGGGTTCGATTCCCGCAGAAGCCTAAGTTTTTTCCATTTTTTTTTTTTTGAATTCTTGTTTCATATTGCTTTTTAAACTTCTGGTTTGCAGGACGGTGTGCGAGTTCTGCAATCGCACTGATTCCATCTGTTTCGTGGTTTGTGCGGCTGCGGCTGCGGTGGTGGCCGCGTGAGAGTGAGTGTGAGAGAGCCATGCACCGCCCGCATACACACACTTCCTTCTCTCTCTGTGTGTGTGTCCCCTTGCATGGACTCTCGTCGTCGCCTCACCCCACGAAGCACACACAATAATGTGCCCATTGTATATATGCATGCACACCCATGCAGGCCCGTTGGTGCTCTCTTTTGCACGACACGCACCGCTGCCGTCCTGCCTGGCTGCATGGGCGGAGCACCGTAACTGTTTCTGTTTTGTTTTCATTGCATTGAGTGGGCGACCTCTCTCTCTCTCCCTCTGTGTGTGTTTTGCTTTACGGGAGCAATGAGAGTGTGTGTGCGCTGGTAGTCCCACGCTTCGGCTTTTTGTTTTGTTTTTCTTTTTGATTTTGTGGTTGAGTGCACCCATTCCGCGGCTGCGTGTGTGTGTGTGTGATGATATGAGTAATTTGCGTGTGTGCTTATCTGCCTCTCTCTGCCGTTGCTTTCTTCAGACTCTCTTGTGGCGCACAGCTGCTCCGCAAGTATAGGCGCTGACAAACACACACGCACATGCACACACACAAATGCCGTGTTTAAAACGCTGAGAATGCACGCACGCACAGGATTGTGGCTGCCGAGGCCCTCGCGAGGGGGAAAAAACCTGCATTTTTTTTTTTGACATGTTGCTCGGTGTGTGCTGACGCGTGACGAATAACAACACGCCCCAATAAGCAGAAAAGAAGTAAAACAAAATGGCGCTGAGCGGCACACCGGTAAGCCAAAAATACGCAATCACCAATAAAAAAGCCGGCGATCACCCAGCAGGCACATCAAGCGTCCTCAAAACCAACCTGGAACAGACAAAAAAAAAGAGGCAATCATAGAAAACAAAGATCCCCGCCCCCAAACAGGAAAAACATTAAAGAAAACGCGATTCTTTTTTTTGTCCTTACTGCCGGGGTTGGCCGCCGCAAGAAATAAAAAATGGTAGGGCGGTGGCCCCGGACGCTAGATACAGCACGACGTGTCGAATTATCCAAGTTGCAGCGGCTGCCCCGGACGTTAGATACAGCACGACGTGTCGAATTATCCAAGTTGCAGCGGCTGCCCCGGACGTTAGATACAGCACGACGTGTCGAATTATCCAAGCTGCAGCGGTGGCCTCGGGCGTTAGATATATGACGACTTACAGTAGTAACCACGCTGCGGCTGCGCACCCTAAACACGTCTTTTTCGTTTTCCAGGGGACAACGCAAATGTGCTCGATTGTTCGAAGATCGACATTAATAATTTACGTGAAAAGGAGTCGCGCGACCGCATTTTTTT